CTCTCTCTCTCCTGCTAGCCCTGAGTAATCCTTGCTGCCCTGCTGGGCGGCTAGAGGAGCGAACCAGAGAGGGGAGCCGTCTCGGACCTAGCAATAGAATTAAGGTAATTGAGTCTTGTGTTTTTATTTTGATCTCGTCTAACTAACTTTATGCCTAGAACCTCATTAATGAAACCACTGCGCAGGCCGCGTGGTAGACATTATGTTAAAATTTTCATCTTCAGGTGACTGAAAGTACAAGATGCTGAACTTCATGTTCCTGTCCATCCCTATAAGGCTATGGAGGCTGCTATGATTTGGAAAGTGTCCCCCAAAGGCTTTGTCCCCTGTGGTGCTACTGGGAGAGACGGGAGTTAGTTGGTAATCTTCTGGTCTTATGGAGGTGGGAGGGTGACCCTGAAAGGGATATTGAAATCTTGTCCCATCCTTTCTCTCTGCTTGCCAACTGCTATAAGGTGAGTGGTTTCCTCTGACACATTCTCCCACCATGATGTGCTGCTTTGCCACAGGTCCAAAAGCAACAGGGCCAACTAAACATGAAAGGCAGAAACAAAACATACCCACCATCTGCTGCCAGAGATGTGATGAGTAAAACTGCCTACCACACACATAAGCCAGAACCTGAGGCTCAAGCTTGTTGTGGTCCTGGATTCACACAGAAGTGTCTTTGAAATGGCCTACCTGTCTTTTCCTTGATCTCACAGAGCACACTGAAGAGGGCAGGCTTCATCCGATGGCAATTCAGAGCATGCTTTCTGAAAGAGGTAACAGAGGTACATGTGAGAACAAGAGAGTGGTCAGGTTGTCCATGAGAGCAAAGATTCTCTATACTGAGAAGTCAAACCCATCCTGCCAGTTCTGACCACTAAAAACTCCTCTTGTGAAGATACTTGGCAAAAGCACTTCATATGAATTTGTTTTGTGCAATATTAAAATAAAGCAATGTATAGTTGGCTCTCTAGATCTGTGGTTTCTGCATCTGTAGATTAAACTAACTGAAGGTGGAAAATAGTGGAAAAAATATTTTCATCTGTAGTGAACATGTACAGACTTTGGCTTCAAAAATATAGTTATTTTGTGACCTCTCGTAAACTGTCATTATTCCCTAAATAATACAATTATTTACATAGCATTTATAATATATTAGGTATCATAAGTTATCAAGAGATGATTTAAAGTCTACAGGAGGATGTGTGTAGATTATATGCAGATACCACATATCATTTTACATAAAGTAATTGAACATCTGAAGGACAATGGTACAAATAGTCAAACATTCCCCTTTATAGGTAGATATTTAAACAATGCAAGTCTAAATATTCAACTCATTAAAAACTATGAAATTTCAAGGTCCAATGATTTGAAAAATGTATTTACACTATAAGCAGAAACATTAGCCATCCTACCCCAGTGTCATGACATTAGCTGAGCAGGTGTTTACTAAGTACCTACTATGTGCTACACCATTCCAATGTCACACAGACACAGGCAATTGAGTTTCTACTTATTTGACATTTAAGATGGATGGGCTAAGAGCAAATACACAAACAAGAAATCCATCAGCTGTAGCAGGTACCTTGTGGTGACTTTAATTGGGGGTCATGACAGAGTAATGGTTAGGTAGCTTATTGGAGTTTGTGTGTCTTTGAGGTGACATCAAATCTGATATTGGAATGACATTAAGTCAACAAAGAAAAAAGGCTGAAGAAAGATATAATTTAATGAGAAATTATAAGACAAAAAAGTGCAAAGGCCCTGTGAGAACTCCTGGCTATTTGAGGCCAGGGTAATGGGTGAGGGAGTGAGTTATGAGGAAAGTTAAAGAGACAAGTAGGAGCTAACTCTTGTAAGTTGTGAGGACAAACCTAACTTTCGCTTGCCTGTGACAGCAACTCTTTGGCAGGATAATGGCCCCCAAAGATGTCCACATGCTAATCTTCAGAACTCTGAATATGTTACCTTCATGGAACAAATAACTCTGTAGATATGATTAAGGTTAAAAACCTTGGGAAAGGGAGAATGACCTGGATTACCCAGTGGGCCCAGTGTATCAGATGAGCCCTTAAAGATGGAGAATCTTTCCTGGTTGTGGTTGGAGGAAGAGCTGTGATGAGATGCTATGTTCCTGGCCCTGAATATGGAGAAAAGGACTCTGAGCCAAGGAATGCAGACAACCTCAATATGCTGAGAGCAGTAAGGAAACAGATTCTCCCCAGTTTCCAGAAAGAAAATAGCCCTATGTTGATACTTTGATTTCAGCCCACTGAGTTCATATTGGACTTTTCACCCACAGAATATTTTAAGGTTCATCTAAGCATCTAAATTGTAGCATGTATCAGTATTTCATTCCTTTTTATTCCATTATATTGGATGGAACACAGTTTGCCCATTCATCTCTCTCTCTCTTTTTTTTCTTTTAGTACCTGGAATTGAACTCAGGGGAACTCAACCACTGAGCCACATCCCCAGCCTTATTTTGTATTTTATTTAGAGACAAGATCTCACTGAGTTGCTTAGTGCCTTGCTAAGTTGCTGAGGCTGGCTTTGAACTCGCGATCCTCCAGTCACAGCCTCCAGAACCACTGGGATTATAAGTGTGCACCACAGCGCCTGGCCCATTCATCCATTTTTTTTTTTAAAGGTAAATGACAAGAACTGTTTTATTTATTTATTTATTTTTAAAGAGAGAGGGGAGAGAGAGAGAGAGAGAGAGGAGAGAGAATTTTCTTTTTTTTCTTTCTTTCTTTTTTTTTTTTAAAGAGAGAGTGAGAGAGGAGAGAGAGAGAAAGAATTTTTTTTAATATTTATTTTTTAGTTCTCGGCGGACACAACATCTTTGTTGGTATGTGGTGCTGAGGATCGAACCCGGGCCGCACGCATGCCAGGCGAGCGCGCTACCGCTTGAGCCACATCCCCAGCCCCCCATTCATCCATTTTTAAAAAATATTTTTTTTTTAGTTGTAGATGAACACAATATCTTTATTTTTTATTTATTTATATGGTGCTGAGGATCAAACCCAGGACCCTATGCATGCAAGGCAAGTGCTCTACCACTGAGCTACAACCCCAGCCCCCCCAATCAATTTTTGATGGACATATGAGTTGTTCCCACTTTCCGTTTATTTTGAGTAATGCTGCTATGAACATACAGGTAAAAGGTTTTGTATACATACACAACTAGAAAGTTAAATCGTAGTAATTTCATGAGGAAATACCAAAACGCTTTGCACAGTATTTAAACCATTTTACATTTTCACTAAATATGTATGAGAGTTCCAATTTATCAATATCATCAATAATACTTGTTATTGTCTACTTTTTTATTATAGCCATTCTAGTGGGTGTGAGGTAGTATCTCATTATTATTATTATTTTTTTAACATTTATTATGCCATGAATTCATAGGGAAAAGTTTCCAGCAGTTCAGGCTCCTTTCCATTTGTTCTCACAAAATGTGCTTCTCTGGGTGGGGCAGGCTGGCGCTTCAGATGAACCCAGGTACCTTTCTCTATGGCTTTCTTCTTTTTCCTGATCATTTTCCTTCACACATTTCAGGAAGTTGTCTCGGCTCTTAGAGTGCTTAATATGCTCAATACACACATTAATTCTCTTGGCAAGAATCTTGCCCTTAACTTGCTTATTCACAACAATGCCAACTGCATGCTGGGTAACATTGTAGACTCTCCCAGTTTTGCCATAACATTTGTGGGGCATTCCTTTTTTTTTTCTTTTTTTAATTTTTATTGGTTGTCCACAACATTACAAAGCTCTTGACATATCATATTACATACATTAGATTGAAGTGGGTTATGAACTCCCAATTTTACCCCAAATGCAGATTGCAGAATCAYRTCGGTTACACATCSACAATTTTACATAATGCCMWATTAGTRAYTGTTGTATTCTGCTACCTTTCYTATCCCCTACTATCCCCCCTCCCCTTCCCTCACATCTTCTCTCTCTACCCCATCTACTGTAATTCATTTCTCTCCTTGTTTATTTTCCCATTCCCCTCACAACCTCTTATATGTAATTTTGTATAGCAATGAGGGTCTCCCTTCATTTCCATGCAATTTCCCTTTTCTCTCCCTTTCCCTCCCATCTCATGTCTCTGTTTAATGTTAATCTTTTCTTCCTGCTCTTCCTCCCTCTCTGTTCATAGTTGCTCTCATTACATCAAAGACGACATTTGGTATTTGTTTTTTAGGGATTGACTAGCTTCATTAAGCATAATCTGCTCTAGTGCCATCCATTTCCCTGCAAATTCTATGATTTTGTCATTTTTTACTGCTGCATAGTACTCCATTGTGTATAGATGCCACATTTTTTTTATCCATTCATCTATTGAAGGGCATCTGGGTTGGTTCCACAGTCTAGCTAYTGTGAATTGTGCTKCTATGAACATCRATGTGGCAGWATYCCTGWRGYRYRCTCTTTTAAGGTCTTCAGGGAATAGTCCGAGAAGGGCAATAGCTGGGTCAAATGGTGGTTCCATTCCCAGCTTTCCCAGAAATCTCCATACTGCTTTCCAAATTGGCCGCACCAATTTGCAGTCTGTGGGGCATTCCTTTTTGAACAGTACCCATTCCCTTGATGTCTACAATATCACCCTTCTTGTAGATTCGCATATATGTGGCCAAAGGAACAACTCCATGTTTTTTAAAAGGCCTGGAGAACATACATCGGGTTCCTCTCCTCTTTCCCTTTGTGTTTGTCATTTTGGCGAATTACTGAAAGATGGTGGTTCTGGCCGAAAAGTTCTCATTATTTATTTAATTTTTTTTTTTTGAGAGAGAGAGAGAGAGAGAGAGAATTTTAATATTTATTTTTTAGTTATCGGCGGACACAACATCTTTGTTTTTGTATGTGGTGCTGAGGATCAAACCCGGGCCACAGGCATGCCAGACAAGCACGCTACCGCTTGAGCCACATCCCCAGCCCTCTCATTATGTTTTTGATTTGCATTTCCCTATCGACTAATGATGTTGAGCATCTTTTCAAGTGCTTATCAGCCATCTGTATATCTTCTTTGGAGAAATGTCTTTTCAATTCCTTATCCCCTCTCCCCAGTGTTTTCGAACCCAGGGATCTCCTGCAAGCTAGGCAAATTCTCTATCATTAAAGTACACCCCCAGCCCAATGTTTGAGTACAATTTTGTATGGTGTGAGGTAGGGCTCCAACTAACTTCCTTCCTTCCCCTTCCTCCCTTCCTCCCTCCCTCCCTTCCTTCCTTCCTTCGTGTGTGATGCTGGAGATGGAACCCAGGGCCTTGCGCATACCAGGTAAGCGTTCTATCCCTGAGCTACATGCCCAGCCCCCCAAATTCATTCTTTTGCACACGAATATCCAGTTATCCCAGCACCAACTATTGAGGAGATTATTCTTTCCCCATTGAAGGTCTTGACACACTGGTCAAAAATCAATTTGCCACAGATGTTTGGGTTCATTTCTGTATTTTCAATTCTATTCTATTGATCAGTTTGCCTATTCTCAATTGAAATGCATTTTTACAAATTTACTTACTTTTATTTTTTTTTTTTTATTTTTTTTTTTAAAGAGAGAGTGAGAGAGGGGGGAGAGAGAGAGAGAGAGAGAGAGAGAGAATTTTTAATATTTATTTTTTAGTTCTCGGCGGACACAACATCTTTGTTTGTATGTGGTGCTGAGGATCGAACCCGGGCCGCACACACGCCAGGCGAGCGCACTACTGCTTGAGCTACATCCCCAGCCCATATTTACTTACTTTTAATTTTA